CCGAGCTCGGTCTCGAACGCTGACGCTGCCAGTGCTGACGGCCTGAGCTCGGGCTCGGACGCTGACGCTGTCCAGTGCTGACGGCCCGGGCTCGGGCTCGGACGCTGGCGCTGTCAGTGCTGACGGCCTGGGCTCGGGCTCGGACGCTGACGCTGCCAGTGCTGACGGCCTGGGCTCGGGCTCGGACGCTGACGCTGCCAGCGCTGATGGCCCGAGTTCAGGCTCGGGCTCGGACGCTGACGCTGGCCAGTGCTGACGGCCGAGCTCGGGCTCAGACGCTGACACTGGCCAGTGCTGACGGCCCGGGCTCAGGCTCGGACGCTGACGCTGTCAGTGCTGACGGCCCGGGCTCGGGCTCGGATGCTGACGCTGGTCAGACACCCCGCAACACGAGCCGGGGCGGCTTGTAACGGCCAGGCATGATATGATACCATGCGCCACTGAAAGCGATCGGCATCTCTAAGACTGAACTTTTCTGCCGTTCCATTATCTGCTCCTGGTAAATGCCCGAGCTGATCTCAGAAACAAAACAATCTGGCGTCGTTACCAACCACCCCGAGCCACTGTCCGAGCTAAATGTATTGCATCCAAATAGGACCGTATTTTCTCGAAATTTAACGTCATGCGCTTGGGTTTAGACGTTTTCTTGCCCTTCACCCCAGTCAGCTTAGCTTTGCGTCCGACATCTCACAACAGACCTTACCTCACATCGTGTCGGTATCTTTTTTACGCTAGGCTTATGTTAAAAAAATGGTTTCAACACTTCTAGTCAAATGAACGCGCTGAATCGTTATGCATCCCGTGCAGCACAACCACGTGACATAATTTGTAGACCGCACTCAGTGATCGACCACTCTGGTATAGCGAAATAACTGAACCTGCAGGTCAGACAGTTTGTGGCTTATTCTGACGCATGTGAGACCAATCACGCTCGTGATTCAGCTGGATGTCATCTTAGTCATCAAGGCCGGGCAGGTATGAAAAGGACGGGGGTGGGGTCTGAGATATATGATCGTGGTCTGTCAATGAAGCCACACTTGCAACCACAAATTCGCATTGAGCACGCATTGGGGAATGTGTGTTGAAGGCCACTTCCGCGGCACGGATGCTGCAAATTTTCTAACAGTTGAAAGTCCAATGGACGCTGTAGGAGAGCGGCTTTCTTACCCAGGCGGAGGTTTACTGGGCAAGTCAAGCAGTTTCGTGCACTCCGTCTCTGACTTCTTACAGGCAGTGAGCTGGCTCCACTGCACAAGTGATTTTTATATGGGCCTCGACTATGAATGCAAGGCTGCATGGCTGTATCACATGTACATGCGCCTCAGTCACTGCAATTTAGCACGTTGCGTACTTGTCACCGCATCCGAGATCTTTGCTTGGATGTTTCTGTAATTAGATAGATTTGGCATGTGGAATAATTTTTGAACAAAATACGTTGGAACGTCATGCTCCCCCGGCTCGCCTAGCTTGTTTCTGCTAGGCGTCATTTCCGAGTAATGTAGGGCTACCACCAAATTTCATCTCCAACACTGACCCCATGGGAGAGTAGTGTTTGTCCAAATATGACAGCACGTATAGTACTGCTCTCGGTGCTGGTAGCGTTTTGTACTTTGCACTGATGGTAGCACTGCTTGTTTATGCCATTTGATGGGTGATTCTCCTACCTAAATGTTTGTCGATGGTGATGCCTAATGCATGCCACATGGGACACTGGGCATAAATGGTGGAACATTTTGCATGCTAACGTTTATGGTTAGCCTCGATGCCCGCGAAATGTGAACTTCGCAAGCGCTTGCAATATGAAGAACTAGTGAGCTTGATTTTTCCTAAATAAACAATAAGCTCATATTTTGTCAGAGGACTGAATAAGCATTGTCACATGTCTAGTCTTCACAAAGCTAATTTATAATACAATCACAACTTTGATTAGAAATCAAAACATGTCACCGAAACGCCTTTGGCAGTGCAGTTCTGGTAGTTCTGTAGTAAAAGGATCTCCACCAGTGCAGGATGTGAAGATCCGTTTTTGTCGCCCCAGCAATATCAAGTGCCGTTTCCTTTGATTTGTTTCTGAGTACACGCAGTTCATTGCACCTCCGATCCAAAAACATACCTAGTATGGCATCCGACGCTCCAACGTCCTGGTTGAATTATCTAATATTACGTGCTTTTTAAAACTACACTGATGTCCGCACGTCTGTCGCCATGAGCGCCTAAAGGTCACAACAAAATATCATGCCCTTTATGCAAAATAAAAAATGTCTATGTTTGGGGGATCAAACAAGTTCTTTGACATGACATAATGCGGTGATTTCGGATGTCTTGAGTTTAATGTGATGAGCTAGGCTTTGTACTGTAGTACATGCTGTAGATAAACATATGCTATCAAAGTGCATGACATTTTGAATGTGGTAACGCCGAACATGTGATCACGCATGATCGGGGATTGAAGGCATAGCACAGGAAGAACTGGAGTGATATTTCATGCAAAAAACCAGAGAAATAGTGATGCTCTTACTACAGGTGACATTCAACTACTTTACACGCGAGGATTCCCCCATACACTACCAACACGCCGTGAAGACAGCTTTGAACTGCACAAATAAACTGCATGAGGGCATTTGTGAAATGCGCGCACTTACCATTTGAAATTCTGCGTCGTGGGAGGGAGCATCAGCTTTTTGGCACGGATGATACGCACGTGGTGCAAACATTTCAACATACATTGAGAGCAGGCCGTTCACTGGGCACTTAAGCAATTGGTTTTGAACTGGTGAGGAGTGGTGGTAAAAAGTCACGTTCTCTGAATGTCGTTTTCGTCTTGAGCAAAACCTTACATATAAACGGAAAACATCGGGTAAGGTGGGGAGATTTGGGTCACGTGTTAAGTGGGCACCATGAAAGCTTTCGTCTGTAGAAGGTATTCCGCAGGAATTCCAAATGTAAGAGGTATTAGTAGGTATTATAAGTAGGTATTAATTAGGAGGCTGGTTTGTTTTAGATTTCTTTTTCGGATCATGAGACCATGAGATGGTTGTCCATGCGATGTCTTGGATGACAGTTGCCTCTTTGACATACCTTAGTTTCGTAACTAGATAGATATGGGTCTTCGTCACACAGCGACTGTAACTCCATCGTGTTCTTGACACTCCTCAGTGATAGAGCCCATGTACACAGACGTCGGGCAGGCTGAGCTCCGCCATTTGTGAGCCATGCGTCCGGGGAGTACTGGACATGACTGACCCACTTCACACCAGTAAGGGACTTTGTGCTCCACTCTAATAAATAAACTGACACGTTAGTGATGTCACACCTTTTGCTCCCGTTGCTTATCCTATGGTGGCCTAGTTTAGCTTTGAAGTGTTCACTTCACCCGAAATGGACAATTTTTTATTATTTCACTCTTTTGAACGTGAGAAGACTACGGGCCGGTTAAGCATGAAAGAATGGACTCCTTAGAAACTCGCCTGCTTACGAAGCCCTATAGGCAGCAAATGCCCTTCAAATGTAAGAAGCTTGCCAGATAGCTTCATTCTCGACATCTCAAAATTGGTCAGTCTCCCCGATCCAGCCAACCTATCTATGTGGTTCCCCACTTATTTAAAAGCTAGAAGAGTGACTGGATTTTTTCCGTAAACAATTTCCAGCTGTGTCGAGACGATCACTTGCCAAGCAGCGCGGTCTGGCGAGACGGCCATGCGGGACTTCCCATGGCCGTTGTCCCGGGCGCGGCTACCACGACACGAAATTCTGCATGGGCAGCAACCGTATTGATCTGATGTCACTGGCGCCCATTTCTTTGTGTCTTTTGCCTGGTGTCGCTCCCCGAGCGTTAATAATCTTCCTATACCACTACGAGTCGGTGGGTGACTGTCTGGTCGTGAGCACTGTGGATGGGCCGGCAGCGGAGCTCGCTGATGCCGGCTGAGCTGCAGTCCGCTCCCGGCCGCCGCCGCCGCTCCGTGGAACGGCACGCCAGAGCCGACTTGCGGCGGCGGCGGCGGCGGCGGCGCGGCGGCCATCGATTTTACGGCCGGACGTCTCGCATCTCCGGCCATGTCGAAACGGGCGGCGGCCGGGCGAGCCGTGGAGCAGCGCAGCGGCGCGACGGCCGCCGGGCGCCGTCCGGAACATCGGCCTCCTCGAGCCGGCGCCGGAGGCGTGCAGCCTCGAGGGCGGACGCCTGCCTGCCTTGCTGTCCGCTGCGAACTTGTGGACGACCTTAGTGCGGTGGAATGCGTTTAGGAATAGAGGGACTTCATCGCAAACGGCACGTTTGCTTTGAAGAAATACCCGAGCTGGCCTAATTTGACTAAGACTTAGTGGCTACTTAACAGTCGGCGCGCCTTAACCCCGCAATTTCGCCGTCCACGTGCGTGAGCTTCGAAACGTTGTTTGCTGCGCTCAGAATCGCCACCGGAAGTGTAGGCACGAGCTTTCTCTGCGGGCCAGTGACCCCAGCCCAGTGCGCTCGCACAGGCTTCCGCCGGAAGTGAGCACATCGAACCGTTTCCTGCGTCGGCGCGTGGACGAAACTGCGCAATTTCCCCCACGCCCGGCCTGGTTACCGTCGGCACGGCGCCGGTCCCGGCTTATCAGCGACTTTTGACCACACTGTTGCGGCAGGGCGACCGAGGGCTATTCAGCAGCGCCTCGGAATGGATCTGTCTCCGTCGATGGTCTCGAGGAACCTTACCCGATTCGAGATCGAGCTGAATCCGCTTGACGAGGTGTCTCTGAATGGACCAGTGATAAGGAGTCTATATTGTAAGTTATTGGTCCCCAGCTGTTTATAATGTACCTCGTCACGAAACACAGGGGATGAGATGGCTTAGTCTTTGTTAATTCCGAACGCCCTTCGTGACAGTTTGTTTTCCCCTGCTTGTTTGTTCATCTGTCGTATCACGTGCCGCGATGCCATTTCGGGGCGGTGTACTCGTCTTGACTACGCTCTGTTGACAGGAAGAGCTGTCCCAACCGCCGCGTGTCGCCTGTTTCAGAGAGGCGATGGATCCGCCGGGAGAGTCCCCTCTGGAGGTGCTCTCCAGAGCTGCCTCGATGGTGCAGGGGCAGGAGATCGGTGAGTACCGCGCCACCTCCCCAACGGTCCCGACGCGGCGTGTTTCACCTGCGGCCGCCCGTATTGTTTCGCCGCCGACTGCGCCGCCCGCCGCTGTGTGACGACCCGCCGCTGAGTGGCACCGCCGCCCGCCGCTGGCGCGTGCCGCGGCTGAGGCCGGCGCGCGGCGATCCTAGCGCGCATCACCTCCTGCTGCGGCAGTCATGTCCCGCTGAAACCGCGGGCCGCGCGACGCGTGTCCGTACAGAGATGTCGGCGATCTGTCCGCGCTTCAGGCAGGGAGGCCTGGTCATTGGGTTTCTACTGCCCTGTGGTTATCGGACTATTTCATGATCTTATAGTAACTTAATGTATGGATGACGACCGTGTCGAAACAAGTCGTAAGTAAAACACCGTGAAAGGAGATCGCATGACAACGAATCCTGTGCAAATCTGGAATGAAAAAACGAAGTCAAAGTGCCGCACGACACATCGTTAGGAATCGTTAAGAAAAAAACGATATCGTTGACCATAGTTATCTAATGCCACTAAATCGGCAGAACCCGCATTAAATCAACAGCAGACGTGCGCAATTGAAAAGGGGTATCAGCTGCAAAATGGTATAGACTCGTAGATAAACTGTTCAAACTGAGGTAAACTGGGCGAGTTAGGGGAACATCGACGGTTCGCTTTTGTGAAACGCACACGTTCATCAGCCGAAATCAACGCTTTATTTGCTTGCGCCATTGGAGGTGGAGACGCCCAAGGCCCTAGAACATAAGGTAGAACCGTCCAGCCAAATTCCGGTGCTTCGACTGATGACGTCACAGGTGTGCTCGGCACGTAATGTTAAACGGCGGATGCATCCCTACCGCAGTATGCTCGGCTTTTTGGAACGGTTCCAATGCTTAAGCCCTTAGATATCTTTGGTTGGATCATAACAAGACTGTTTCTTCTCCGAACAGGCCATAATATCAACTCCAAAGCCTTTTCATCGTCAATTGGCTGGCGTCCTAGCTGAGCGTCTTGGGCTGGAAAGCCTGGAGACCACAAAGCTTTTTCGAGAATTCATTGCCTAATTTGCACATATATGCGCAAACGGAAACAGTTAATGTTGCATCTTAAACAACAATTCGAAATCATACTGACATGAAAAGTCAAGGTCACGTCAAAAGCCTGCAGACACCCGCTGCATTACTGTTTGCTGGGGGTCGATCAATTAAGGCGTTTCATTTCTTCGAAAATGTATGCTCTTGGGCTAAGTGAGGATGCTGTGTTACGAACATGTTGATGCCACAGTGGCGTCAAGTCAGTCATTCCAAAGGTTAGCGTGACAAGCTGGTTTATTCTTGGTACCTATGATTAACAATATTTTCACATCCATTTTTCTCCCCTTATGCAGCTTAAACATCAGCTACGATTTTTTGTCAGTACATAGCCAAGATGTAGGTGGGCTCCCAAGATGAGGCCATACGAGGTCAACATGACATAAGATGAATTAGTCATGTCATACATGTTTCCGGATTGCTTACCCCACAGGAATCCAATACAATCACTTTAAATCTTGCATCGGGTCATCTTAGTACCCGAAGAGATCAAAACCTGCCATTTGTCACAACGTACTCTGATCTTTGAAATGCATCCAATAGCCATGAGCGGATAAACGAAATTGATTTTGAGCTTATTGCGTAAATGGCTGTCACTCTGGTCATATAGCTGTCACTCTGGTCATATCTTGTTTGATATGCAGATTTCATCGTTTTCAAGGGGGTAGAAGTTTTCCCGGCAATACAGGAAAGCAAACTTTTTCGTAACGATATTTCGTACCTCAAAATGCTTTCAAACAATTTTTTGTGAAAAATAGAGGCTACTTATATCAGCAGTGTCAGGATTGATTGAAGAGATGTATCAGCTTAACAATATAATAACAATAATATGGTATATTTTGTGCCACCAGGTTCACCCATATCTTTGTACCTACAGGCATAAAACACAACAAACACGCAAGCATAGTGCAAGACAGCTGGCAAAGCACTCAGAACTCGATGCAGTTAGCGGCCCAATGCCACCTTACAGTAAAATCATGAAAAGAGAAAAACCTGCGCCTTCAAAATTATCACCAGGTTTACTTATGGGTACTATACACACACAGCATCGTGCACAACACGCCTTTTTAATTTTCTTGCATAATACACAAAAGCTTTTAAACACATCATAAATAAATCCAACAAGGGCTGCCTCAGTCCCCCACAAATCATCAATAACGTGAACTGAGCAAAAGCAAGCGACACGCAGCGACGCGAGTCAAGGCTGGTGAAATTATTTTGTCTCTTCCGCGCGGCACATTTGGCACATCACCGAAATGATCCTATAGCGACGCACAGGGATGACAGGGGGCTGCGAGGCGCCGTCGTTAGCCGATCAGTGTGAGCTTCATATTTTGTCTCGCTACGAAGTCGTACCTAAGAAGCGAAGTCGCCCATGCGATCTCCATCTGTATGATCTTTGTTTAAGAACGTGCTCTTGTCACTAAGACATCCATTTCGTACGGCCGTTATCCAGTGTATGTTTGGCATACAATCTTTAGCCCATTTGGTCGTTATCCGATGCAATCTGATCCCATCATGACCGTTATCCTGTAATATCTTAATGTGCATGCTCTTTTTGCGCACTCCATACAATATTTATGCCATGCTATATTTTGTCATCACGATCTCCAACCGTGCAGCTGCATGGCCACGCAAACGAAGCTCTCGAAAGCCCCAATACCCATTCTACCCACTTCAATCTTCCGCGGCACGGGCTTTAAAACAGGATCTGTTGTCCCGTCACGGCACCGAACACGCTGTTTCGCGCGCCGGAGGTTCCCGTCGCTGCGAGCCGGAGCGAGGTCGCCTCCCCAGCGTGCCCAGGCTCCGGCCGCCATGCCGCGGCTCGGTCTCGCCTGAATGGACGGCACCGCCCGACGGAGCGGGCGCGGCGGAGCGCTCCCATGGAGCGGCGGCCCGGCACGACCCCTGCGCACCGTGTCACCATGTCGGAGGATCGGATTACGAGGCTGGCGTGGGCCGCTCACCGCCAAATGTGGGATTTCGGCGCGACAGACAATCGCATTTGAAGTTGTGTTCATCGAAATAAAGAACTCTTCCTGTCATACATTGCTATGGTTTAGGAGGAAGAGATGAAGAAAGGTTCTCTTCTGTTATTTCTGTCAAGAGTCAAAAGTGGATTCTTAAAAAAAAAAATGATAGGGGAGGGCCAAAGCCGGAGCCAGTTTTCGGAGCGAGAGGCATTTGCTCACTCCATTTTGTTATGAGCATCCGGCCGGCGGGCGCAACGTCGATTTGTGGGGAATGTACGAGCAGCTGCGCGGTGCCGTCCGCGCGTGGAACAAGCCGAATTCCGATGGCCGAGGCGTCGACGCCCTGGGCGGCCAGGCCGCGCGTGCCCTCCGCTCCTGCACGGACTGTGATGGTGGTGTACGTGATGCTGATCAGTCCCGCGGCAGCCGCAGCCCGGCATCTCGGTGACGATGGGTTTGGCTGTTGCGACCGATCAGGTACCGCCGACGCTCTCAGTCTCTCAGCTGGAGGCCGTCACTGGGCTCGCTTTCCACCCGGTTGTTCCGGATCGCGTCGCCGAGTGTCGTACATCTCCATAGGCTGCCGTGCCAGGCCGCCGCCCCGGCCAGCCTCTCGCCCGTCATTTGGAGAGGCGGGGTCAGACGGCGCGACCCTGCGTGCCGGTCAGCTCGAGGTGGGCGGCGCGGAAAAGGCGGACAATGGCGAGCCGACCGGCGCACTGCGTTCTCTCTGTCTGTCTCTGTTCTCTGTCTCTGTCTCTGTCTCTGTCTCTCTGTCTTTCTCTCTGTCTCTGTCTCTCTGTCTCTGTCTCTCTGTCTCTGTCTCTCTGTCTCTGTCTCTCTGTCTTGTCTTCTGTCTCTGTCTCTCTGTCTCGTCTCTGTCTCTGTCTTTGTCTCTGCTCTCTGTATGTCTCTCGTCTCTCTGTCCTCTGTCTCTTCTCTCTGTCTCTCTGTCTCTCTGTTCTTCTCTGTCTCTCTGTCTCTCTGTCTCTCTTGTCTCTCGTCTCTCTGTCTTCTGTCTCTCTGTTCTCTCTGTCTCTCTGTCTCTCTGTCTCTCTGTCTCTCTGTCTCTCGTCTCTTGTCTCTCTTCGTCTCTCTGTCTCTCTGTTCTCTGTCTCTTGTCTCTCTGTTCTCGTCTCTCTGTCTTCTGTCTTCTGTCTCTCTGTCTCTCTGTCTCCCTGTCTTCTCTGTCTCTCTGTCTCTTGTCTCTCTCTGTCTCTCTGTCTCTCTGTCTTCTGTCTCTCTGTCTCTTGTTCTCTCTGTCTCTCTGTCTCTCTGTCTCTCTGTCTCTGTCTCTCTCTCTCTCTCTCTCTCTCTCTCTCTCTCTCTCTCTCTCTCTCTCTCTCTCTCTCCTCTCTCTCTCTCTCTCTCTCTCTCTCTCCTCTCTCTCTCTCTCTCTCTCTCTCTCTCTCTCTCTCTCTGTCTCTCTCTCTCTCTCTCTCTCTCTCTCTCTCTCTCTCTCTCTCTCTCTCTCTCTCTCTCTCTCTCTCTTCCTTCTATCTTCTCTCTCTTCTGTCTTCTCTCTCGGTCATCGGGACGCTCAGCGCCACCGCTCTCCATCGCCCGGCTGTGACGACGGGCCGCGGCGGCCGGCGGCGTGGAATGCGGCTCTCCCCGCCGTCGAGCGCCGGCCACGTGCCGACGCGGCGTCCCCCCGTGGCGGCGACGGCGCCGATCAGCGCCAGCCGTCCCCTCCGACCGCCGCCGGACCGTCCCCCCTCCCGTACCGGATGCCGGCCGCTGCGGCGCGCCGCCGGGCGTCACCCCTGAGCGCGGTCAGCGGCGACGCCGTCGGGAGAGCGACCGGCCGCCAGATTCCGGGCGTATTATGTTAATGCCGAGTGGCGGCCGGCGGAGGCGGCGCTGAGCGCCAGGTCGGCCGGCGGACCGGGCCGGCCGCTCGGTGTCGTGCAGGGCATGCTCCGCCGCCGTCCGGACG